TCAATTTAGTTGGACGATCGTCGTGAAGCTACAGTGAGTTCTACATCGAATTCTATCGTACCCATTCATAAATATGGCATTGGATATTTTGTCAATGAATCAATTGCTGATGGCATGGACTCAATTGTTGGGCTTCCATTAAAAAATTGTTGTATCAGAATTTTTTGCTGCTCAAGGACATAATTTTACGCTTCAAAGTATGCAAATTCAGACAAGTTAGAGAACATTTAAATTTATGATGTATGGGTAAATCTGTTTAAACAAATACGTTTATCTTGGCGAGAATGTTATGAAAAAAAAAAAATTAAGCGGAAAGCAAATCCAGCGTATATTATTTATGGAGAAAATTTTCAAAATTCACCCCCCCCCCCCAAAATAAATTCCTGCGCACGGCCCTACCTATAGATATAGATATAGATTTTCACACACATTTTTTTTTAAGATTTAAATTAGCGCTAATCAGCTGTTATTTTTCACAGAAGAGCTCTACATGAATTAGAAATGACAAGCGAAAATCTTGTATATATACATATGTCGGTATATGTACATTTTACTGTTTCTTTGTTGTTATTAACTTTATTAGAGGGAAGATGATATTTTCATTAGTCATCTGAAATCACATTTTGATCTGTATTAGACACATTAAATAAATGTAAATGGATGAAAAATATGAACAGAAATAAGCAGCACCGATAACTTCTAATTAAATAATCTTTTTGCATTACCAAAATATATTTATAACAACATTTAAGGCTGAAATCCATTATACGTCTATTACTTATTTTTGTTAATTTTCTATATAAGTATGTATGCACATACATACATACATATCGCTACTTAATTATTGATTGAAATTGTAAGTAATTCTACATAACGCTAGCCTTTCGTAGCATACTTTCAGGCGGACGCTTTGTTTCCCCTTACGAATTGCCAATTATCATCATAAATTGAGCAGACTGGTTGATATTGCTGGTTAAATAGCTTTGTAAGCTGTTAGTGCACGCAATCTAAATCATATTTAAATATTTTCTATTGAGTGTTGTTAAAGATTTTTGTTTCTAGAAAATCTGAAAAATAGCAGTTACTCCATTTTTTCTTGGAGCCCAAGGAAAGTACTTGCACATTTCCACGTACCACGGCAGCGAGTTCATAGAAAGTGTTAATTTGTCAATAATATATTTTTTGAGTTTATATTATATTTTGTTTGGTTGAAATCAATTTGAGTTTATTTTTATAAAAGTGAAATTTTGAGATTGTGATTTTGTTATTGTGATTTGTGCAAGAAAAGAGTGACACCGAGAGCTTAAATGGAATAAATAAGAAGTGGAAATGGGAATACCAAATTATTTTTCTTTTTTAATATATTCACCACCAAGCTCGCTGCTTACAGTAAGCCTTACTTTCCAAACCGCTTTCTGGGGCTGCTGGAACATCTCTGCTCCTCACAGTTGCTACTGTGCGGATCTTCTGTTTTATTGTGAATTTAGCCTCTTTAGGTGTCAGCACGACTCGTTTGGGACCGGATTTGATGCCTTCAGAGTCCGAATGCCTGCCGCAACCGAAGTTACGGATGGATTTCTACACCATTTTAAGAATAACATTCAAATATATTCTTTAAATTCTGCGCTCCCTATAATATATACGACTTTTCAGAGGGAATAGTTTCCGTCATCATCCTTCTCACCAAAACTCTTATTAGAAGCCAACAACAGGGGCGCAACCGTCCGAACAGTTTACTTCTTCATCGCGGCGCTTCCTGGAAACGTAAGAAACCCTTGCGGTGATTAAAGCGTCTTTAATCTTAAGTTATGACGGAAAGAGAGGAAGCTTCAGTGGCGTCACTCCGATTCGGTTTAAGTGTTCGCTGATGTCTAATGGAATGGGGAATAAATAAGAAGTGGAAATGGGAATACCAAATTATTTTTCCTTTTTAATATATTCACCTGCAAACGGATATATCCAAATATTTTTCAGCTCTTTCAATTAATTTCCTTATGCTTCAAGTTGTTTCTTCTTTTGTCGAGCATCGTCGAGAACAATTCTTTCAGCTTTTTGCGTAAGTTTGGGCGTGTTTATCTCCATGCTCCTGCCCGGCCTCTGGTCGCCTTTATGGCCCTTCCTTCTTTAGATAAACTGTTCTTCGTGTTAGCTTTATGCACCATATTTGATTTTTACCATATTTCACTTCTCGCTCATGCTTGTTTGACGATAGCTCAAAGTATAATTGTCCAATAGCAAAGAGACCTCGTATTTATTTTAATTATGAGCCACTGAACTCGTTTGGATCAACCCCCAACAACCCTCTATATTCGCGAACATAAAAATGATTCTTCGTACACTTAAACAATCTATATGCAAGGGCAGCTCTTATAAGTATGGTCTAAGCGCAAGAAGCCTGTTATTCTTTGATCACATTACCATACTCTTTCCCCTGGGTGTGGCTGAGAATGAGCGATATGTTGGCGAGAGGTTTAACGACCGGAGTGAAGCACAGTGTATGAGTTTCTCTCTACCCTAACTCGGCCACCAAATTTGGATACTTTAGATGTGCGCTGTAGTATATGTCGCAAGAGCTTCTTTCCGCCCTTTTTTCGCCCGAATTCTTGATTGATTCTTGGACGGCGATTGGCCGGTGTTTAATTTAAAGAAGATATCACTTTCACTGAAATTAATTTATACGTGGCGGAACCCAAACCCAGCACACAACCTCGCTAGGTATGTAGGTGAAGATTCTGATGCAGTAGCAGACGAAACTATTGGTTTTCGACAAGTCCAAAAGAAGAGCTGGTATGTTGGGAATTTCTGTGTAGCTGGGAAAAGAAAACTTGGAACTATTGCGATCGACCATAATACAAAGCTGGCTGCAGGAGTAACCCACGAATATTCTAAAAAAAGATGTGGTGACTTATACAAGGTATCAGTACTGATGTAGAGAATACGAGTACTGAGCTTATAGAGGGAATGGTTCTCCGGTCTGCTGAATGTCAGTGAAAATGAAACACCGGTAGATGGAGAGCCCTTCGTCTTCCTTGGAACCAGCATTAACAACAATAATAATGTCAGCCAAGAAATCCAACTCAGAATCACCCTTGCCAAGAAGACCTACCTTGGACTGAGTAAGCAATTTGAAAAGTAAAATCATCACACGTGTTCTGCTATAAGTGGCCCAGAAACGTGGACGTTGACAAAATCCGATGAATCCATCGGCTTAAGAAGTCTTCGAGAGAAAGATTTTGCAGAAGATTTATAATATTCTGTTCATGGGAGACGGTAAATAGCGCAGATGATAGAGCAATAAACTATTTAAGATTTGCCTAATGCAGATCAGCGAACTAAGGGGCAGCGGCTACGCTGACTAAATTCCATTGCCCATCTTTAAAAGTATTCGAACCGGGGCCGCTAGGTGGAAGTAGATGAAGAAGAACACCTTGACTTCTATGACACAGATAGTGCGGTTAGGTCCATTTAGTGCCATAAGACGAAAAGAAGAAACGGGTAGCCTACTTTTGTTAACTCGACAATAATCGCGTAAGTGGTGTCTACACTAATAAAGAAGAAGAAAACCCGAACCTTTTTCTTTAATTTTATAGCAAATTTAAATAATGGGTATTTTTTTTTACAAGTGTAGTTTTCAGTGAGGCAATACTTTTTCGAAATTGGTCTTTTCGAAAACAGTTGCTCGATTTATATTCAAACATAAGCGCTTAGCAGAGTCAGTTATTTGAGCAACTACGTATCCGTTTCGCAAACGTGGATAATGTACATACCCAGACCCGAATGAGTTCATTCACCATACCGTACAACAATTGGAGCTGAACTTTATAAGGCAAGATTTGAAGCCGAACAGACGTTGGGTATATGGGTCTAAAACTAGATGACCACCAATCTCGAATTATGTGCGAGAAATTTGTTAAGAGATAAAGCTCACTTTTAGTTGAATAGATCCGTTAATAAACAAAATTGTCACATTTGGAGTGAAGATAATCCACAAGCCATTGTCGGGAGGCCTTTTCATGCTCAAAAGTCACTATTTACAGGTTCCAACAAGATGGCGATACATGCCATACAGCCAACGAAATAATATATTTATATGAAAGAAACTTTTGGTTAACTCATTATCTCTCATCGGGGGCCTGTGGCATGACTTCTAAGATCGTGCGGTTTCAGAGACTATTTTCTTCTTTAGGGAGCTATGTAATGTCGTTAGTCTACGCGTGACGCTGTAAAAGATAACATTGCTGATCCTCTCGGCGGCAATTTATTCTAGCCCGCCGCAACGGTGACTTGACCGAAATCCTTTTTAAATTACAATGACAGATCCTTATCTTTATAGCAAAACTAAATTATTGGCTATAAAAACAATTTATATGCATTTTATTTCTCTCTCTCTCTTTGCAAAGTCCCACGCTCCATAGTTTGACATAACTAAATAAAATTCTGCTACTCGATTGACTCACCTGACAATTAACTCCCAGTTTTTCTCATTCTAGAAGTTCAATACATTTTATGCTTGCACATTGGCCGTCATTGAGCTTTATTTCACGCAATTGGCGTGAGGCTGGCCATTCGGAAAGTGTGTAACGCGTTAACATTTCGTTATCTTCTATGCATGCCCTAAACATAGTCTTACGTACATATGTGTGTACTTCCGAACATCGCTACGCGTATACATATACATAACTATATGTCAGCCAACATTGTATATGTCGTATGTATAAATATCGTGCATCTGGAAGTAGCTGACACTTTTATACTCGTATATATATGTGTTTATAAATATGTATGTAGAAAAGAGCACACATGTGTCCATAAGAGCACATAAGTGCACATTTTGCTCGCAACTGTGAAATCACAATAATACCAAGTAATAAGTGAATAAACGTGAGATATTAGCTATGACGTACGTATCGACTAACCGGCCAACCAAACCGAAGCTGGTACCGCTACTGGGTACTCAATACCCCATACTAGCAGTCGTATATAAGCGCACCGATCGTTTTTTGCATTGCACAGAAGTAACTGGCGCGCGAATCAGAAAGAACTTACAGGTTGACAAAATTGAATATTTTTAAAAAGCGAAAACAAACAAAAAAAAAAGAAAAAAACAACAGCAACGAAAAAATAATTATATAGTGATATAAAAACATATCACATCTAACGCATTGAGAATATAAAACGGTGATCGAAGCGCGCGTCGATTGCATTCACAACTCGGAAGTGCAGTGCTTTTGTATATGACATATGAAAAATTTATATTAAAAATTAAAAAAAAAAAAATAAAAATAATAATAATATATATAAATAAAAAAAAAAATATTATCTTATGTGTATTGTTAACCATTTGTGACATAAGCAGAGAAAAATAACAAAAAAATAATATTAATAATGAATGCTAATAAAGAATAGATACCTGTGCAATATATCAATATAAATACATATAATATTAAACAAAGTGAGGGAAAATATTGTAACAGATTAAATCTAAAGTGCTACCACCACTGATTGATAACAGTTCAAAAACATTGAATTTATAAGAGGAAAAATACAATTCACACACATACACGCATATAGAACCGTAAACGTTTTGATTAGAAATGGATAGTAAATTGGAGAAAAATGAAAGCAATGTAAGTGGAGCTAATAAATATATATATATATGTATATATGTACATATAACAGGAGTACATATCTTTGAGTCAAAGCGCATAAATCTACATACATGGATAATTATGTATATAACAGGAGAGGGAATTGTGATTAATATTAATAAAGTTATTTTAACTGTTTTCCCAAAAAAAAAATTTCTTGTATGTCACTGCATTTTACTTTCCTCAAAGCAATGTTTTCAATTAAAAAAAAACTCAAAAAAAAAATAAGAAATAAATATAAAAATAAATAAAAATAAAATATAAATAAAAAAATAAAAATAAGATATATTCAATTAACTGCAATTAAATTAACTAATAATTTTAAACAATTGTAAAAATGACATAAAATCTTGAAAAGAGCTTAGTGTATAGTAATCCTTTACTGAATTATTTATATTTATTTAGGATATCTAAAATAAAACTCACCGTTAACAGTAGCGCTTTTACAAGCGTTATGCTGCAAGCCCATCTGGTGTCTAACGAAGACATGCAGCCCTTTTAGGCTATTAGTTGCTTGGGTTTGATATGTTGTCTTCGCTAAGGGAAATAAGAAGTGCACTCACTAATAACGGTATAACAAAAGCCAAAGGATTCGTGCTTCCCGTTAAAATGTTGCTTAATCCTCTAAATAGAAAATAAAATAAAAGAGAACCTAAAAATATATGTAAAATAAAATTAAGTTAAATTAAAATAAATAAGATAAAATAAAATAAACGAATATAAAAAATATAAAATCTGGAAAAATATCATAAAATAAAATAAAGGAAATTTATAAAAATGTAAATGAAATATAATTAAAATGAAATAAAATAAAATAAAATAAAATATAATAAAATAAAATAAAATAAATAAAACAAAATAAAATAAAATAAAATAAAATAAAATAAAATAAAATAAAATAAAATAAAATAAAATAAAATAAAATAAAATGAAATAAAATAAAATAAAATGAAAAAAGTATAAAAATAATCATAAAATCACTTTATATATAACAAAATCATATAAAATATTTACAAATAAAATAATTTAAGCCGGAAGAACAATTTTGTGTTGAACTGACTTTATACAATTTATTTTTGGTTAATTTGGTTTAATTTAATTTTTCTTATTTGACATGACCCAGTGGTTCCCATGTTTTGGGAGGGTTTGAATGTTGTAAAGACTGGTCGCCACATGTTAGGTACTATTCGTGGTGATTTCTGTATTGAAGTCGGTCGCTATATCATCCCCGGTACGGAGAATTAGCCAACGAGGAAATTACATTTTGGTTCAACAAGGAGAAGCTGGTTTCTTGGCAGCCAGCCGCTGAAAGTTGGGTATATGAATAAATTACTGTTTATATACCAGCACAAGCGCACAGAAATAAATTGTTATTAAGTAAAAAATGCTCTTACATTTCTGCCAATGAACTCCAATAACGAAAAACAAGAAAAGACAACAAAATTTCACTGACGATTATCAAATTATGCCAATCTGTCATAACGTAAAATGCTTAATTACATTCAGCCTAAAGCAAGTGACAAGAGTGCAACTTGCATTCTTTGTCGAAGATGGTTTAATTAATTTAAATACCGTTGTTGTTTTTATTGTTGTTGTTGTTTTTATTGTTGATGAAACAGGTTGAGGTTATTGAAAATAATGCCAAAACGAACATTTCTATTCCGTAAAGGGAAACAATCATCAGGATTTAAAGCTGCAAGAGATCATTTAACGCTCCTACTGGGTGCTAACACAAGTTTAACCTAACCAATTGTCTATACAGCTTCCTCCAACTCCATTATTTATATTATAAGATAGCCTCGTTTAGCGATGTTTCCAATTACACACCACCTTAAAGAAACGTATCCCCTACCCTACTGTATTATTTTGCTGCAGACATTATCAATATACTCGTATAAGGTTATAATTTAATTTGAAATTTTCCAACTTGTATATTTTTCTGCGTCATGGAGGTAAATCAAATCTCGTGTTGAAAGCCTCTTCAATTGCTTTGTAAATAAATTTAATTTAACAGCGATTTTGAAACAATGGAACAATGCAATGAATACTCGTACTTTCAAATAATATTGGTTTTGAGAATTATTACTATCTTATTTAGATAAATATGTTTTTTTTTATTTTCCTTTCTTGTTCTAATTTATTTGATGTGCTGATTTGGGTATTTTCCAGAATATGACGAAAACAAAATAAGTATTTACATATGTATGTATGTATGATTATTGCGATTTATTAATTAGTAATGATAAAGAATGAGAGAAAATAAATGGAAAAATGTAAGCTACAAAATAATAAGAATGCATTTTTTCAAACAACAATTTAGATGATCGACTTACAGGCCTATTCCGTCGAGGTAATAAAATTTACTTTGGTATTAAAATTTACCATTTAGTAAATTTTGTTACTATATCGTATTCTGAGTTCACTGTCACCCTGTATATTTTGTTACCAGCGAAATAGGAGATAACAAAAAAATCTGTTGTTCGATTTTGTGTTGTTAGTTTGAGAAAAAAGTAAAAAACCAAAATGGGTAGGCATACACAGTGTGTCCTAAAAATAACCGAACTTTATATTTAAATCATACATCATACAGCGCCATCTATTGAAAACTCGCAACATTAAAAAGATAATAGATAGATAAGATTCATCCTCTTTCAAAGGCACCTAACATCATGTAAGTCGCATGACATATGTAAAAGTGACAGCCATTTCAATAAAACCAAAAGTGTGCTAATGGTTCAAAAATTAAATGGAACGAAGAGCAAATATAAAATTTTGTGTCAAACTTGAAAAAAAAATTAATGAAAGAAATTTATTGTGATGATTGTATGAGTCGGGCGCAAGCTTATACGTGGTTTACACGATTTAAAAAGGGTCGTGAGGATTTAAGTGACCCTAGAGCAGGACGTCCAGAAACTAGTAATCGTGCTGAGCTGGTGGAAAAAGTCCGTGAAATCATACTGACTTCAAGATTGACGAAGTAATCTAAGACTTCAAAGTTTTGACTGTTAACAGTGACGTCCTGTCTGTTTGATGACAGGAGATATTTCGTCTTGCCCTCGTACACTACCAGACCCATCCGCTTCGCTTCCTTATCTAGTCTGGAGAAAGCAGAACTTACGGCGCGGTTGTTGAGGCCAATAGTGTCAATAGCTGCACTTCGTATTATTCACTCCAGCAAAAACTTAAAGAAATCATACGATAAGGAGCCGTCTCGTCTGAAAACTCGTTTGGTGTCGAGCGAACTGGAGAGGCGCTTCCCCAACCAGATAGAGCCTTTGGTGTTGATTAACGTTAGTTTACACAGCCGCATAAGTTTTGCGGGGAAACCGAACTCAGACATAGCGGCGCAGAGGTAGTTCGTTTAAGTGCTATCTAATGCTGCTTAAGTGTCGATCATCTTTTCTTGGGTTTTTTTCAAGACTTAGCGCTTCCTGCATATCTGGTCTCATGGCGGATATATAATCAGTACAATATGTTCGATTGGACCGTATAAGCGATATTAAAGAGACTTTACCCTCGCTAAGGAATGTCTTCGAGTCTTTATACCATTCGGATTTTTATCCGGCCAAGGACTCTGTCGCTTTTGCAATATTCCAAAAAAGTATTTTGAGCAATACTTTTGCGTTTATAACAACAATAATAACAGGCTTATCCCACGGTACTTGGCACATACTATGCGATCCCTCTTTTTTTAATAAGGTAGAGCATACTTAAGTTCCAATAGTCGTGCATGCTTTCATCTGACTATATTTTGCCTTATCAATTCTTCAACGCCGTATTTGAGTAACTCTACTAACAATTCAACAGCCCTCGTCGCTTTCGAACTTGTTCATAGTCAAGCAATGAATCATCCCGATTGGGGTATTGTGCTCCATTTTCACCGCCATTAAGCAGACTGGATGTCATAGAATCAATATAATACTGCGCATCATTCGTCCGATCACCTTTTTGTGTTCTACAAGAGCTTGCTCCGGTCTTGTAACCTTCTGTAAGTCGCTGCATCTTTTCGTATAATTTTCGAGCATTATCGCAGTCGACCAGACTCTCAAGCTCTTCATACGCATCTCGGCCTCTTTCAATTTGGTCTGTACATACGTCTTGCTTCCCTCTTCAGCTTTCGGTATCTATTCTGCTCTGTTCAGTGTAGTGGGGTCGATCGCAACGCTGCGAGGTAGGCAGCCTGTGTTCTCTCCACTCTGACACAGCCAACTACGTCATACCAGCTGTTCTTACGACCTTTCTGAAATCCAATAACTTCGTGTGCAGCTGTACGTAGGGAGCTTGAAGTGACGTTCCACAATTCCCTTATACCGAGTAACTGAATAGTGTTCTCAGAGAGTAGGACTGCTAGTTAAGCAGAAATGCGTATGGCTGTTTGTTGTGTTTGCAGCTTTAAAATAAGCAAAATTTAATGCTGTGTTTTAGTATTGATAAAATAGGATTTTGTTTATGTTCAAATTGGTTGGTAATCTTCTGACTATATTTCCACTGCTAATTGTTACGTATACGCAGTGATGCTCCGCAATATTTATAGGAAAAAACATAGGCATGAATTTTGATCATCATTTTTTGTACATTTATTCCAATGCTAGACCTGCACTAGCAAAAGTAGTGCACAGTAAATCGAAGAAAAAATTTCGTTTTATGAAAAACTCTAGTTTAATCAACACTTTGAAGAGTACTCTACATATGCATAGTATGTTGATAATTGTTGCTATTCATACCACACTTATGAAATAATTAAGAATTTCAAAAGAAAATACAAAAAAAAAAAATAATAATAGACACTTAAATCCAGCACAAGTAGGAATATACTCGTGTTTCAAGGGTATACACTACAGCCACAAGCTAAACTATTTTCGTCCACAAGTATAATTGTGTACAAATTTTAAATAAATTGCTTAATTAACAGCTTCAATCTGAAAGATAACGTCGTACTCGTAGACATACAATATAATAATGATAGATATAAAGTTACATACATAAATACAAATACAATAGTATATATTGTAGTAATTTGCTTTAATAAAATCACTACTTGCACTTGAACATGAACTTGAATCTAAACGAAACTAATTTACGACAATAAATAAATAAAAAAAATTAGAGTGAACTAGATTGAATCTGCGTGTGGGATTAGCCAGGAATGGACTAGATTTTTGTGTGTTCAAAAATTCTTGAGAGTAATTAAATAATTGTGGAGGAAGAAATTGTGCATTTTAAAAAGGTTCTCAATAGAAAATACTACACAAATTATTATGTGTTCTTTTGAACCAGTTTAAAGTTTGAAATGTCAGCTAATGAAGCGAGAATCTTAAAACGCCCATTAGTGCTCATGATGATTGTATTCACTACTTTCAAGAATTGAGAAGTGTGGGAGGGTTGCCTTTAGGATTTCTAGATTAATGAAACAAATATCAATCGTCACTTTATTGTCTTCAAAATATTCTCCAGAGCTTTTGCATGCGTTTAAACTAATTGTGGAAGGACACTTTTGCCACTATGATTGAGGTATCTTCCAGAACATTGACCTCTCAGTTTACTTTTTACATACGGGATTAATACGAAGTTATTCGGCACCATCCTGACTTGGTATACGGTGGATGACTCATTAAATTCTATGTTTTGAATGCTCAAAAATGCAGTTATTTC